CCAAGTTTTAAATGCTGGCCCGTCCAAAATCCTAAAAAAAGATGATTCAAGTACTCAAACAACTGAATCAACCAATCACCTGATAAATACTTCTAAACTGAAATATTTATTTGATGGATTTTATAAAATAATTTCCTTAGAAGGATTTAGTTATTTATTTGATTTAAATAGTCCGGAAAGTAAAAGTTTCATTATTTCTTCCATAAGTCATCCTAAATTTAAACTCAGTTGGGTACCAGTTAGGTTTATGAATATTTGTAAAACACTATTTTTAAATGAGTGTAGTGTTGTAGCTGCCACTTCTGAACAATTTATGAAGTCTGTTGTTGTAGAAATAGATTCTGACAGTAGTGACAATGAGTTTTATGGGAATATCTGTACCGAAAAGAAAATTGATGATTATACAACTGCTTCAGAAGCAAAGCGATTGAATTATGCAAATTTACAGGCTATATCTTACCTAAGTTCAAATAAAAAAGATTTAGACGTTTTAAATGAATACCCTATCATTAAAGAGGTATTCCTAAAATACAATACCACGATTCCATCCTCAGCACCAGTCGAGAGATTGTTTAGTAAGGCAATTCAAGTCCTAACACCTAGGCGTAATAGATTAGGTGATAAAGTGTTTGACATGATATTATGTTGTAGATCAAATATGGTTTAAATAATGTATTGTTTATTTTAACATAATTTATTTTATTTATTTCAAATGTCAGTTTTTTTGTTTTATTCAGTAAGAGAATTACTTGTTACTTTTATAAACTTTTTATATTTTATATTTATTTTTAAAATGTTTGAAATTTGTTAAAAAAAAAAAAAAAATAATTTAATAAAGTACATTCATTTAAAATTTTTTTTAACTATGTATTTTTTTTTACCTGTAGACTGTAGTAGATATGCTGAATATTTAAAAAAATTATCTCATATTTATCTAGATAAAAATTTACAAATTTTTATCTTTATCTAGATAAAATTTAGTATAATTATCTTTATCTGTATCTAGATAAAAATTATAACAGTTATCTTTATCTTTATCTAGATAAATTATTAGTTATCTATTCCCAACACTGCATATAAAGACACTATTATTCTGCCTCTTTTTAAATCAGACGACAAAAGTCTATGTAGTAACTACAGACCTATCGCATTAACTTTAACTATTTCTAAAATTTTTGAAAAATGTATTAAAAAAAGACTTATGTATTTTTTGAATAAACACTCATTTTTTTCACCTAATCAATATGGTTTTTGTCCAAATATGTCAAAAGTGGACCCATTAGTTAAAACTTCCCACTTCATTCATAATAATTTGGATAAAAAATTCAAAGTTTTGGGCATTTTTCTTGACTTTAAAAAAGCGTTTGACAGTGTGAATCATGAGTTATTAACAAAAAACTTGATTTCTGTGGCATAAGAAGTAATGCCCTAAATTTAATTAAATCTTTTATTTCAAATAGACCTCAACAAGTTCGAATTGAAGGAATCCTGAGTGGCTGAGTGATATTAATACCAATTGTTTTTCGGTGCCACAGGGTACTGTTCTTGGCCCAATATTATTTATCATTTATATTAATGGACTTTTAAACTTAAATCTTAATGCTGATATTATGTGTTATGCTGATGATACAGTTGTACTTTTAAAAAATAAAGATTATAATAAATTAATACAAGAATCGAATATATGTCTGGATTTGATTAAGAATTGGTGTGATAATAATAATCTTCAATTGAACTTAACTAAAACTAAATATATTATCTTTAATATTTCTAACTATATGTGACTATATGAACTACATATAGTTCTATTTCTGAATTATATATAGTTCTTTTTTTTTTTTTTTTCATTAAACTAAGGCCATTAGCTGTTGTAGGGGTTATGAACTGTGGTAGGGGTAAAAAGTTGGTACGGTTGGTTTGTTTTTACGATTATTACGGTTGTTACGGTAGGTAGAAAACACGTGTATGTGTGGCAAGGTTTTGAACTACTATGAACTCGAGTGGTCACCCATCCGAGAACTAGTAGCTGTGGCCGTTACTTACTCACAGTCGCATTCCGCAACTGGTAGCAGCCAACGCGCCACGCCAAGCCACAATATATAGTTCTATTTCTGAATTATATATACATTCCTTTAATTGTAAATTTTTAAATTTACCTTGTAATTGTGTTCCTTTAGAGAGAGTTTATAATATTAAATACTTAGGTATTAATTTTGATCACAGACTAAAATTTGTTGACCATATTTATTCTGTTAATAATTCAATTAGAAAATTATTTTATGAATTTAAACTACTCCATAATATATTAGATCTTAAAACCTTAAGGTTAGTTTTTTTAGCTTTAGCACAATCAATTTATTTATATGGCTCTTTGGTCTGGGATTGTCAATACTCCAGTCATATTAATGTATAATGTACAAGTATAAAATCTTTAATAAAAGTTATTTTAAATAAACCAAGATTTTTTTCTTCAAATTTATTATATACAATTCTTAATGTTCAACCCTTTAGGATATCATAAGAACGTCAAACTTTATTATATATGTATAAAATTAGAAGCTTAATTAAAGATTATCAACCATCGCATGATTACCATACAAGATTAAAAAATAATAACAACCTAAATATACCTCATAATAAAACTAATTTTGGTAATCAAAGTACTATTATTAGAGGTGTTTTATTATTAAAAGTATATAATATAAATGTTTTTTCTTTTATTAATTATATTCAATATAAAAATCATGTAATTAGTGTTCTATCTTAGTTTTAATGTATTTGTATTTTCGAATAATTATTTGTAACTTTTTATCTTTTCTTTTGTTTATACCTTAATAAAACTCATCCGCATTCAAGCTTATTTGCTTACAGAATGAGTTGCAACTTTTGTTATTTATATTGTATATCTAACTATGTTAATTGATTCTGTTGCAATAAACTTATTAATATTATTATTTATTATTATTTTTTTTTTTTAACTACATAGGTACATAGTAAGTACATATTGTATACTATAAATGTGAATGATTACATATTATATTATGGTAACATAGTATATATACCATTTAAAAATATATTTTATATTGAATTAGGCTAACCCTGGGACCTCTAGAAAATCTAGAACAATTAGTAAGCCGAATCCAGCAGTACCATCATTTGAACCTCCATATACACCTCTTTTATGGGGAAAATCAGAATTAATGCCTTTAGTTGAATTATTTTCTGATGATTTGTCTTGTGGACCAGCTGAAATTTTAGAAGAGCTTGAAGATAAATCACCATATAATATATTTTATCAAATATTTGATAAAAACTTGATTGATCACATAGTTTTCCAAACTAAGCTGTATGCTACACAGATAGGAAATCCATTTACACCTACTTATGATGGCGAATTTAGAGTTTTTATTGGATTAAATATGTTCATGAATGTTAAACGTCTTCCAAGCTATCGGGACTATTGGTCTAGTGCACCAGATTTACACGATGAGTATATATCAAGTATGATGAGTGTAAAAAGATTTAGTTGGCTTCTATCAAACATCCATTTCAATGATAATCAACTTCTACCAAAACGAGGGGAAGCCAACTATGACAATCTATATAAAATTCGGCCATTGTTGGATTATATTGATCAAAACTTGTTTAATGAATATAGGCCTCACAGGGATGTCACTGTTGATGAAGCTATGTTAAAATTTAAGGGTAGAAGCACACTGAAGCAGTATATGAAAGATAAGCCAGTAAAAAGGGGTATAAGATGTGGATGTTATGTGATAGTTCTGGGTACAATTTAAAATTTGAAGTGTATACAGGTAAAAAATAAGGGATAGTTGAAGCTGGTCTTGGAGGTAGGGTAGTACTTGATTTATGTAAGGAATTAAAAATAAAAATCAATCAACTTTTTTTCAAGTAATATACTTTTTGAAAATCTGTTGACTAAAAAAATATATGCAAGTGGAACTGTTAGAGCTAATCGAAAATTTCTTCCAATACTTGCAAGGAACAACCAGTTACCAAGAGGCGAATATGATTGGGCAACAAGCAATAAGGGATTGGCTTTTTATAAATGGAAAGATCGAAAAGCAGTTCACATATTATCTTCTCTTCACTCACCAGATGACAAAGTATTTGTCAACAGGAAAGAAAAAGATGGAAGTACTTCTAAAGTTTCATGTCCTTTAGCATTGAAGGATTATAATTAAAATATCAACTTTATTGACAACTTTGACCGTCCAAAAAAAGATTATCAGTGTGATAGAAAAAGCCAAAAGTGATACATGAGACTGTTTCTTCATTTTATTGATTGCTGTGTTGTAAATTAATTTATTATTTACAAAGAATTGGATACAGACGGTAAAAAATTAACTAATAACAATTTTTGTAGAGAGGTTTATACAGGTTTATTATTTAGAAAATTAGTTGATGTGTAATCCCCATTCATAGTGAAAAAAGAACTAAATCAAATACTGAAATCAGCAACCATAAGCCACATGTCTCAAAACATTTGAGACTTACTCAGTGGTGTATTGGTAAATATATTTATGGGTATACGCACTAATAAAATATGTATAATCTACCAAAAAAAAATTTTCTCGCTTCGCTCGTAGTCAATAATCATTACAATAATTAGGTGACTTAATCTCTTATATTATATTATTTTTATTTTATTTCTTTATTAAATTTTCAGTATTTTTACTATTCATATTTTTGTAAGAAATTAATAAATAAGTAAACCTCAATCAAAAAACACATAATGGATAACGACAATGCAATTCTGTAAAAATTTTGATAGTAAATACTGTTTATTAGGTACTTAACAAAAAAATGTTATTGCTCACTACAATTTTTCTAAATCTAAACCTTGGGCATGCTTTATAATATTTGGCCCACTTAGAATAAATGTAAAAAAAAAAAAAATATAAAATAAAACAATTAAAACAATACATTAAATAATAATATTAATATACAAATATACAATTTATATTAAATGTTAATAAACAACAATAAAACCTATAGAATATTCCACAAAGATTTTTTGTATTCAATATTGGGTTCATCAGTTTTCAATATCTTTGTTCTAGTATCATCAGCATCTCTATGTTGGCTTATTAGCCATGATTTAACATATTCTTCTGGATTCCATTGATTCAGAGGTGGCCCGTTTATATTTAAAAACATTAAGTTTGCGATATTTGATACTGTTAACTTATTTCTGAGATCAGTGCATATTAGATTTAAAAGACTAAAACCTCTTTCACAATCTGCAGTAGAACAGGGAAATGTTTTGATGCAATTTACCAGTTCCACAATAGTATTTTGAAGACCATTACTATCCAAGTATACCCTAAAACCATTAATTGCATTGTCTTTGTTCAACATGAAACGTTGACATAAACGTTTAATTTCTTTTTCGCCGTACCTTATATCTACATTTGAAGGCCAAGTGGTTTTGTCAATTATTGAAATATCTTGAATTAAATAGAAGTCATCTTCGTTTTCTAATAATCGTTCTTTTAAATTATTGCATATACTAGTAATAAATTGATTTTTATTAATTGGTACTATTTTTGAGAAATGAGATAACTTTATATTTTTGAAAGTCATATCCCTTTTTGCAATGTCAGCTGTTCTCATGTGATCACCACTATTATTTTTAAAAGATTCTATAACTCGTATTGTTCTTTTAATACTACTGTCAGCTTCTAAAAGTGTAATTGTTTGTTTTTGAAGATGTAATGATAAGGTAGATAGTTCAGAAAGTACATCACACATTAATGATAAATCTAGTAAAAATTCTGGACTACATAATTTGTTATATAAACCCAAATATTTTGATCTAGATTTTGAGTCTTTTGTTGTATCAGTTGATGAAGATAAAAAATGTTTGCATAAAGCAGGGAATGTTCTCCACACTGCCTGAACAGCTCTCCAGCTACTAGCAACCCATCTTATGTCAAGAACCCTTCCAATTTTTAGAAAAATAATATCCAACTCACTGCAAATTTCTTTAATTTCATTTTTGTTTTTTGGCGAATTGTTGTACAAAACATATAATGAATCAATAAATGATTTAAAATGGTTTATAGCATTCAAGTCCTTCATAGTGTCATTTACTGCTAATTCAAGTCTGTGGTTCAAACAATGCCAGCTGAAAATCAAAGGATATTTTCTCTTCAGTTGTTTGGCCACTCCTTTTTTTTTACCAACAAGAACACTTGCACCATCGCTAACAAAAGAAATCCAATTATTTTTTAAAAAGTTATCATCAAATCCAGATATATGCAGGCAATCAATGAGCTGATTAACAATATTGTCTGCTGTTTGTAGATTAAGCTCAACAAGGTCCAAAAAAATTGAAATTGGGTCTTCCGATGATATTGATGTTTTAATGTATACTACCATTGTAGATAAAGTGCTTAATGTTGTGGATTCATCAATTAAAACAGATATTTTTGAACCAGATTTAACAATATTACTCACAATTTTTTCCTTCATTTTCATGGATATATGAGCTATAATCTGAGTACATGAAAACCGTGATTGGAGAGTTATTCCAGTGTTGATACCATTTAAATTTTGTAATTCAAGAAGCTTTGAATGATCACTAAAAGGCCTATTGTTTTTAGAAATATAATATGCTGTACGGAAAATTGTAACTGTAGATTTATTTATTTTAAGAAAAATGTTCTCAAATTGTTTTGTTAGATTGTCAGAATTCTTTTCGTGCATAATATTAGTGGCGGATTTATGAGCTAATGAAGTTCTGTGTTTTTTTATTTTATTGCGAAAAACAGTAAGCCTTGTTTTTTTATCACAACTGGTTCCTCCACTTACGCTACACTGAGCCCACTCTGGTGATATTTCAACAAAACTATTCTTAAAATTGTAAATATTACCAATTTCTTGACAAACTGAACATCCAATTTTACCATTGGCACAAATCAACCACGGATAAGCATTATTTTTTGCTTGCCATTGTTCAAAAGTCCATTCTGAAGGCCATGCTGTAACCTAAAATCACATTAAACGTCAATAATATAATTTAAATTTACTAATTGTTACATAGTTAACACTAAATATTAAAATATATAGGTACAGTAATAAGTACTGACAACATATAAATAATTACATATTTAAATGTATTACCAAAGGAGAAGTTTCATAAACTGTATCCAAATTTTGAACTCCTACATAATCTTCATCTCCTTTTTTACTTGATGTATCTGTACAGGTCAACTAAAATAAAATATTGATAATATTTTTATTTTTTGATATTAATTTATATGAACTTATTCATTATAAATTGGTTTAAATTTATTTCCAATTTAAAAAATTTTACAGTTGTAGTGAGTAGGGCATAATTCATTATAACATTTTATGAGAATAATATTATGTTTTGAAAAATTACAACTTAGCTACTGAATTATTGAAAAATGTACACTTAATAGATTTTTATCTTACTGATATATTATTGTATTTTACTGGCACCAAATCATCAGTTCCTGGGTTATCTTCTTCATCAGATCTAGTATTATAGTTAAGACGCACCTATTAAAAAGACAATATATAAGATTTATTGGAAATAATTAATTTTAATAAAAGAAAACTTAACTTCAATGTAATATACTAAGATAATATTATTATAATTTAAGTAAATCAATCATTTAATACCAAAGGCCAAATAGAATTAAACAATTAAACAAAATATTATTCATTTTTTATTATCTCACATTTTTATTTCTTGATGTGTTCGTTGCATCATTTTTCTTGGCTTTCTTCGGTAAAGAGCAAAAAAAATTTGTTATTTTCGGGGCGATATTTGATTCCTTTCGTTTATTGGAATTCATCTTAATTTAATTAATAAAAATTAATAAACAATATAAGTATTTAATATTAATACACTATCAAGCTACATGTGTGTAATTATTGCAAGTTATTGCCAAAGATGATATTACAAAATAACGACCACTCCGTTTTCAAAATGTAAGTTAATTATTAGTAGGTAACTAGGTAATAAGTCAAATTTTTAGAATTTAAAACTAAAACGGACACCAGTAAATAAAATACATCGCGATCGTGCGGATTATTAACCTTACACACTTGTAGTTTCTTAAAAGTTTAATACTAAAATTTTAGAAAAAAATAAAAACTTACATTGTTACAATAAAATTGTAATATAATATATTAACAATATATTAATGAAAAATTATAGAATTATTGAATATAATAATATTAAAATTAACACTGATCATCAATGGAACCGACTAGTATTCATCCTTCTTTGTCAAACGATACTACGATAAGTACAATAAGTCGTAAACTCGAATAGCAAGATTCAAGAAGGAAAATACCCATTATTGCAGTAACAATAATTTATAAATAAATCTATAAATAAACACCATAAACCATTTAATTGGCCATAGCCTGATAAACACTTAATAACATCAGTGGTTACAAAAACATAACATCGCAAGAAACACATTTGCCGCGCGTTATAATTTATAAATGACATAATACAGGTTGAGAACCATGGACTGAGCATTCATACTCCATATTGGTAATATTACATAATATTTTAATAACATCTATTTTTCAAAATGTTATTAATAAATTTAATTTAAAATTCATTATTATATTAAAATAACAATTTTTCCTATGAATAATTGGTTTTCGAGTTATTTTAAGAGCGTATACCCGTAAAATGATATTTTACATTGGGTATACGCAGAAAATCGAAAATCTGCTGACGGGTATACGGCGTATACCCGCGTATCCGTACCAATACACCACTGGACTTACTGAATCTAAACATCAACCAACTCAAGGCAGTAATAGGTGTGTGATGTGTTGAACTAAAAAAATACCACAAAGAACAAAGTGGATTTGTTCTACTTGTAAAGTTCCTTTATGTATCAAGAATGAAAAAACATGCTTTCAAGATTATCATACAAAATAATTTGTATTAAATTCAATTTTTTTTATGTTAGTTAGCTATTTAAAAAGGGTATACATTTATTTTATTTTGAGTTATCTATATTGTTTAAATAATTTTATATAGTCTTTTTATTATTATAATTAAAAAAAGGTTTTGTAATTGTTTTTCAGAAATATCTGGAGTTAGTATAATATTATTTTTTTTTTTTTATTATTTATCAATTTTTAAATGGTATATAATATTTTAGTTCTTTGTTAGTTGGAGGATTCAAATATTTTCTTATATCCTTCTTATGGTACTCATATAATTTTTTATTGAAGTTAATAAGTATAAGTTTGGATTTTATAACATTTTATTCAAAAAAGCCTTATATTTTGGTAGTGGTCACTATAAGGACCCCCTTTTCCCAAGTTTTTCTGGAAAAATTGCTAACTCAAAAAAAATGTAGCCAACAATATTTGAGTTAAATACCAGAATAAAAAAAAAATTTAAATTGACACATATTGCCCAAATGGATTTTTTTTCCAAAGAAAATGTGCGCCTCTCAAAGAGTTAGCTCTGACGCACCCCACGCAAAGTAACCTTGGAGTAATAAAATGCCTTAAAATACCGTATAAAAACAATATATTTGAAATCTTTAAGTAAGTATATTATTCCTGAGTATAAAATATATTGTATGAATTCAATTGTCTAGAAAAATTCATTTTATTTCTATCCTTTGTATAATATTTTATGATAATATTTATGATAATATTTACTATTTAGAGTTAGAAATTAGAATAATTTAAAGAAAAAATAGATGTGGTCCAGTTATTAAAAATACTAGTTGGATGTTCGGAGACAAAATTATTTTACTAAGTGACAATAATTGTGTAGTTTAGACGTTTAGTAGGTACCTGTTAAAATAACCACTGACATTGTTCTCACAACAAGATACTATTTAACTTAATATTACTATAACCTATAAGCAGTATAAACAATGACTACAACAAGTTATTAAGACGAAATATTTCTTAGTTTTTATAATCTTACCTGATCGATGGTGTCGTTCTTGACTATTAGATGGAAAATAAACGCCATTGCCTCGTTTTTAATTTTAAACGAAATAACATCTCACATTTGTACAAAAAATATTAATAAACAATGGCTTTGGTTTTGGTTTGTGTTATATTATACCCGTGTTCTTCTCAGTTCATACGCCATTAAAGATTAAGCTAAGTAAGAGTGCGGCGTTATAAATATTATGTGCTCATCAAATTTGATAAAAAGTCGCTTCTTAGTAAGTAATAAGCGTCTACAGCTGTTACAGTACTACAGAGCAGCAACCTTGCCACCACCTTATGGAGCGCTAGTATGACGTGACTTGTTTTGTATGTATAATGTATATTGCATATATTATATTACTTGATAAGAACATAAACTGGCGCCGTTACATTATTGCTCGTTGTGCAACCATAGTATCCATATCCGTATTTCGTGGTACTAAGTAATAAACTAATAACACTAAATACTAAAAAGTCCAGCGGCGGCTCGTGTATATTATGTGCACAAGTGACAAGTGAACGTGCACTACCTAACCAAACACAAAAAAAAAAACTGAAAAATTTAAAACAGAAATCATAATATCACAACGAAGTAACTAAAGTATTATTAGATTATGTTTCAAAATGTGAAAATATAAATATAGAACTTCAGAATATGAAAAAAATATAATATAGGATTGGGTTATTTCGAAGGCCAAACGGCCTGGTGGTTGTCCACGGTATCAGTATGTATTATTGCAAAAAACGCAATTCGCGTTAAAATGAAATTATTGATGAGCCAATCATAACCAATTAAATTGTTTTTAACAAATTATTTTCGAAGTCGTGGGTCGGCCTTAATTTATAAAATAAATAATTTATTTTATTTATCTATAATTTATTTTTACTCTCACTTGTTCACTATGTATTCCGATTATCAGCTGATAATGTTCGTGTTTCGTAGCCATTGTTTAATACAAACTATAATATGGGGGACGAGGTGACCGAGTGGTCTGACTCTTCCGCTGCGACGCAGCCGGTCGCGGTTCGATCCTCGGCCACCGGGCGGCATTTTTCTCCGGACAAGTCGCGGTGCCCGGAGAGCAAGTGCTGCCATCCCCCACCCCCGGGGCATGGCAGAAACCTACGGGTGCCCCATTCGAAATTCTGCCAAAACAAACACACACGTGTTCCCCCTACCGTTCCAAAAACCTACAAACCATCAATACAAAAACCTACAGTACCTACTAATAGCTAATGGCCACAGTTGCCGGGCTCAGGATCAATTAAAAAAAAAAAAAAAACTATAATATACATATTATGCATAGTATATACACGAGTATATAATATTAGTGAAATTTATTTGGCTGTGCACTACTTCACTAAAAACCCACGAGCCGCCACTTCAGTAATAACATTAATGACACTGATCAGACGTTCTGAACGAACGACGCGGCGCACACCAGTTGTAGGAAGACGTATTACTACGGGACGCAGGCAACGCGTCCCCCTCAAAGAAAAACCTTTCCATATACATTCACATGTATCCACGCTCACACAACACAACTGTATAGAGTAAAAATACAAATTTGATCATTGATCGATTATCAATAGCGGTATTGAACAATATACACCAAAAACTATTTTTCGAATACTGGTAAACGCGAAACGCCTATAAAAGACGAAAGAACACGGACAATGTAAAAAAGAAAACGAAAAGAATAGAATAATAATAATAATAATAATAATAATAGTAATCGAATGAATATAATTATAATGTCTAATATCATTGATTACAAAATTATAAATAATATTATATTACATAATATATTTAAGCTCGTAGAACGACATATTACACATTATGCCATACAACGTGTCTCATGCTTATCGCTAATTTTACAGTTCGTTGCACTTGACGTTCGTTCCACGAAAAATGTTATCTGTTATTTATAAATTTGGATTCTGAATTTAAATATGTATATGAGTTGAACTGTTATATATTTTTTTCACAAATATAATATGATCATATGGAAATAACGGGATAAAAAACGACAATTCCGTTTTAAACAGGGCGTCTGGTCACCCTAGACTCAAGTAGTATAATTGTATAAAGTCTGTCTTTACTGCCTACCTCAACCCAAACCTAAATCACGATCAACCAACATCCGATGACGTGCCGAAATAATCATTTAAGTCTATAAAAAATTCAGTTTAGCAAGAAATAATCCATGTCCGTGGACAGCATCGCGGTTTTAATTTCACATTTGTAATATCAAAATTAAAAATAACAATAATAATCAATAGTGCGATTGAAATGAACACTCAAATCTCCGCATTAAAAATAATAAACTAGGGTAGAATATGAGTAGGTACACAGAAAATAGACGAAATAAGAATAACACGGAGAACATTTTTGGTTCCAAACATTGGACTTGTTGACATTTTTTTGGAATTCAAATTGTTTAATTATAGAATTTCAAACTTTTTTAAAACTGACTTTTAAACACGAACCAAACATCTCAAGTCGATATTTTTCTGAACTTCGAACAGTTCGACCCACCTCTATACTATATAAATATATTATACTACCTAATATCACAACTCTAAGTCAGTAACAATTTAAATTTATATAGATGGGTAACATGATACCTATATTATAATAAAATATATTATCTCGCATTTAATAATACTATAACGCCATAACGGTAACAATGAATACTACCTCATCGTTCTTATATTTAATTTTTATTATATTATTGAGTACCAGCTGCGTCGTATATCATCTAGAATTCACTGCAGTGTGCTAAAAGCAGCACCGTAACAGAATATGCCTTCTTTGGGCATCGGCATGTGGTCGTAAAAGTCGGACGGCCTTTGAGTGACGCTGCGATCCGGGTGTTCGTATCGCACGCGCTCGTACAGCCTGCGTTTCCGGCACTCGATCTGGACCTTTTTGAACAGCCGCTTGTCGATCACGTCCCGGAGCGTCTTGAGCGGACGCGGCGGCGGCATCCTCGTGAACGGTGGCACCAGCTGGCCGGTCTGGAGCAGCAGCATCAGGCACGTGACATACATGGACCGGTCGGAAAGCTCGTCGTCGTCCAGCGTCAACTCGCCGAGCACGTCCAGCCACATGAGCACCTTCTTCCGCTCTTCCGGCGACACGTACTGCGCCAGAGTCTTGACCAGCTGACGGTCGCATGCGTAATGCTGTTCCGTCTTGATACACCCGTTGGGCAAGCATCCTGGTGGCTGCGCGCACTTCGGCTTTGCGTCCACCGCGTGCCTGTCATCGGTGACGGAGCTATAGTATACCGGCGGCCGCTTACCCAAGATGGCTTCGCTACAGGCTTTCGACTTGTCGCTTTTCACGTCCGTTGACATTCCGTCGTTCGGGGTGGACTTGGAATTCGACCGGCTCATCGCGTCGTAAGGTTTTGGTTTGATCGGGTATACCTATATAATATTTTAAGTGTTTTGATGCGTATAGTTTTGGTAAGTTGCACTTTTATGGATGATTTCTGTAATTCTGTTGGTAAATAGATTAGGAAGTGTTAAAAACGTTTAAAAAAATGTAATTTAATATTAATTATTGTCACGATGACTGTGGTTTCCAATTCACGCCATCGAAGTGTATTAATATGTTATTGACTAAACAATGAAATTCGCTAGGTATTTAATATTAGCCAATTAATACAGTAGGTAGATACTTATATAATATTGTGCATTTGTGTGTGTGTACATATAACTAACATGTACCTACGCAGTTGTTGAATGCTAAAAAATGTATTTATCGATAATAAATCATTTCATGTTATGAAAAACGATTATCCGCCCTTGTTTTTAAAGTATATACTTTAATATTATATTTTTTTATTGCTATTCGTCATTTGTTTTTCGATTATTTATAAGGCAGGTTGAACCGATTATTATTAACAACAACAAATCAAATACACAATACATTATTAACTATTATAATAGTAATACATAATATTATACGGTTATTATAAGGCAAAAGTAAGGTCCCACTCGAGATATAGCAGGTTAAAATCACGATCACCTATGGGTCATGACTGATGACTCCGTTTTGTAAAAAATAATTACAACGAATCGAAACAAATTTCCCTACTAGTGACCAGTGTATTCAAACTTAGGACTGACAACTTAAACGTAAATGCTGAGGTTAAAAGTTGTTTATTTTTGTGTTGTATATTAAAATCCAACTAAAAACGTCGTAAAGCTTAAAAATACGCCATCGCGGCCATACTATATTAAACTTATTAGACAATTATAGCGGTTATGACATTAATCAAACATTTGAATCGGTAATAATTCATTATTTTATTTTTAATTTAAAGTCTGCGTCTGCGCCCAGTCTGCGTCTGAGAGATTATAGAATTTGTGGGGTGTCCGTGTTTTTTATAAATCAACAAAAAGAAAAGAAAATATTTTAAAAGCAAAATGTCATTTTCAAAAATTAAAATAATAAGTTAATAATTGTTATACGAAAATATTCATTATAAAAACTGTTTTGAATGCCTATTATTATTATACAATTATTGTAAATTTGTTGATGGTTCATAATTCATACAAATGATCAATGAAGGTTTTCATTAAAATTTGCAGGACATTTTTCCAAAATATGCTAAATAACTAAAAGCGAGGATAAAAATGTCTAAAAATCGAATTAGATTTAGGTATTATTGACTATTATATTTAATATTTAGAGTATTTTGGAGGGGGTATTATAACTTGTTAAGTGTTAACCTATTATGGGGGAGGGGGGGCAAGTTTTTAGTGCCTATAGCCGTAAAAAAATAAATCCTTCCCTGGCTCAGAACTTTATGCAATTGCATATTTCTTAAAAAGCTGCATATTCAAAATCTAATACGATACAAACTCATTTCATGATAACTACAATCGAAATACAAACATTTATATTACATATTTTAAGATTCTCTAAGATATCTTAAGAAGCACATTAAATATTAATGCATATTATGATTTATTTTTATAAATCAACAACAAACCAATTTTAAATAATTTAAAATTATAATTTAAATAATTTAAAAAGTGACAACGCTTTGCTGTACATTAGATGTCTAGAGAGTCGCTGTAATGGATGTGTTCAATATTTAAATTCAACAATATAATATCATCGAATAAGAACAACGATTCTTTACAAAGAAAGTCTGTCAGCCTATATATATATATTACTGCAAAGTAGGCATATTTTATCAATTATTGTGATCAAAGTAATTTATTTTACTATACTATATAATAGTCATTATAGTGCCTACTAATATGGCAGGTTAATATTCATTTTTGACAGAAATATTGCATTTAAAAATGGCATACTGTGTATAAAATATAGTAATATACCTACACTGAAGGTTTCATGTAATCACGAATAATATTTTTAAATTAAATACAACAAAACTAAAATAGTTTAAAATATGTAATTTAGTATAAACATGTGTAGTTTCATTCGCTATGTTATGTTATATTTAAATTTGTATGTAAGTTAAGAGAGTGTAAATTATTACAATTTTCTTAATTGTTCTTAATTGCTTATCAATTACATACAAATTATACTGTAAAAAAGCCAACGTACAATTAGCTAACGATACAGGTAATGTTCTTATCTACAGTTTGATAATAAGTGAATTCACTTTAGTATTAAAAATAACAACATAAGGTGGGTTCTAAATTTAATAGTAAGTAAGGGAGAGAAAACTAATGGTTTAACGACTGAAACCAAACTGACATTCTGTTTTATGATGAACATTGACGCAACTAGAGAGAATTTAAAAAGTCCTTACCTAAATAAAAATAATTGTAATGGCATTGTTGATTAGAGTAATTGAGAGAGTGGACCACTTCATCCTGAACAAATAGTAATTCAAATAAATATAATTTACTTCGCAGATAAATTATGTTAAAATAGTAAACAATATTATTTTCTTCACTCATATGAAAATGTACCTATACTCTGTTCACGACAAGAAAGCAGCTCATTCGCACATCTCCCAACATGAGCCTAGATCTCTAGAGCTGGAATAATGGTGGAAATGAGCAAGAATTACTCTCTAGTTTTGGTCGCCGCCCAATTGCGTTATTATCGTGAACAGAGTATAGGATATAACGTTAGTACAGATCTGAAATTTTTTTTAAATTTGTACACCCTCAAAAATATTGGTCAAGTTGCTCCTATGCCGCTTAAAATATTTGTTTAATTTTGGGTAGTTAGGTAAATGAACAAATCAAAGGTAATTCAATTTTTACTTTATTAATACATTCAACCTCTTTGTTTAAATATTTTAACTTAATCAAGTGATAAAAAAAATTAATTTGTCAAAAAAAAAAATGTTATTACACAAATAAAACTCATTAATACATTTTGAATAAATAAAAAACTAAAATAACTTAATAATCTTTGGGTTACCAAAACTGAAAAATTATGAATACAAAATGTTTTTTTTTTTTTTTAAAGAGTTACTTAATCACCAAGTACAATTCAACATCAATAAATGTATGAATAATTTAAGTTACAAAATACATTTAAATAAATTACTGTTTTATCCGAAGCAATCTTGCTGGAAAAATTAATAAGAATTATATTAAGCAATGTATTCTGCTATTTTTAATAATAAATGTTGTTTGTAAAAGTTAATTGATACCAATTATTAACGACCAGTAATATACCCTGGGAAGAAATACAAAAGAGCATTAGCCAATTTAATATTCATGTTCATACAGTAAGTTTTTCCCAATTCAGCTCTACATGCTGGGCATTGGTACACCTCAGATCTAAATGATCTTTTTAAACATCCCTAAAAAACAACAGAAATATTAATTAGTATAAAAATCAAAATAAATCTTAGTAACAAACTTACTCTACAAATGTTGTGAGCACATTCTAATGTAATTGGCTCAAAGACAATATCTTGACAACATATGCACATAAAAGTTTCTTCAACTCTATCCAAAAATGCCTATAAAGGATGATACACAAAATAAATTTTATAGTACACTTTATTTTAAAAAGTTGCATACTTTTTTGCCTTCTTTTAACAATTCTTTACAATCATCCCAATATTTTTTATTGCTAGAATCAGCATTAATTAATGCATCAGCATCATTTTCCAGTTTATAATGCATTTTGACTTTCTTTTCATCTTTTTTTTTTGGTACATTTTCATTAGACTCATTGTTATCGATATCTTGTAGTGTTTTTTTCCTTTTGAAGCCGGGTAAATCTGATTTTATATTGTCAAGCTCAGTAGGAGGTACATAATTTTCAGGATACTAACAAAACCACATGAAATGATTGAATGAATAATTAAATATTTTTATTGTTATTTTAACTCACAATTATTTCAAGACCTAATTGAGCAATACGCTTTTTGCCTTTTGCCGTCCAAGGAGCTGGTGTAGGATCATCACGTTTCAATACAAAACGCCAAACAATAAATCCAGATATTCCAGTCTCTGGATAATATTTCATAACTTTGTAAAGACCATCATAGCTTAAAAATAATTTTTTTTTCACATTAGTCATTACTAATTAGTTAAATGTATTATAATGCAGATAAACCCTTTGGGAATCACAGAATACAGGATGTCACTGAAGAATTCCGATTCCGTATTACAAGTGAAAAGGTGGAGAACCTAATTCCTAATCATAAAACCAAATTGGCAAATATCAAAAACGTTGTTACCTAGGTTACAAAAAATCTCGAAGAAAAACCCAATCCCAATAAGAAAAAAACACTGGTTCAATAATGGGTGTATGGAAGCAGTCTCGTTGCAAATGATACACAACCCATAACAAGAAAACCACGAGATATAAACATTTTAAGGAGTTAGCAAACAAGACAATTAGAGAAAAAATGACTATATGAAAACAAAGCACTCGAAAAACTTGAGGGAGAGAGGAACAACCCGAATAGTTCTTCAAACACTGCAAACAACTCAAATAAGGTTTTAAACCACAAACACTTTTCTTAACCATGATAATTTATCTAATATTCAAAAAAAGACATTGGTATAGTATCAAACCGCCCTGGAATTCCCTTGTTAGATACAGCTTACGAAATCTCATCGATGGCATTGTTAAGACTAGAAATGTATGCAGAAGACAGCTTAACAGAGTACCAAACTGGTTTCAGACGATAAAAATCTACAACGTATCACATATTCACAATGAGACAAGTAATGGAAAAATTCTATGAATATAATAAAGACCTTCATATTTTTTTTAAGACTTCAAACAAGCATATGACAATATATGACAACTCAGAATAACACTAAGAAATTTCGGTATACCAAGGAAATTGGTGAGACTAGTTGAGATTTGTAACCAATAGACTGCAAGGTAAGTTTTATGGGGGAGCATTTGAATGCAAAACCGGCTTGAGACAGGGAGACGCACTATTTCCGGTACTATTCAATCTTGTCCTGGAACAAGTGACATGGGACATACATGAAAAACGAAAAATGGAATTGGTCGGGATGAATACTCTTCTAGCATATGCAAATGACTAGGTCATTTTACGAGCATCTATAAATTAAATAAAAACTAGTGCTGAAAAATTATTTAAAACAAGTCAAGACATGGGAATAAAAGTTAACGAAGAGAAGACGTAATATACATGGTTATGTCAAGACAAGCAACCCCGAAGAACAATCTCAAGGTACACGGATATTCATTCGAACGAGTAAAAGAGTTTAAATATATCTTGGGGTGAATATCAATGAGAAAAATAACATGCATGATGAGATAAAACTCAGACTGAAGATGGCTAACAAAAGCTATTATGCAATGAGAGAGATGTTCATGTCGAAGTTACTGTCGCGACAAACAAAGGAAAGGTAATACATAACCTATTTACGCCCCATAGTGCCGTAAGCATGTGAGACGTGGGCCAGCATAAAGGATTATGAGGGAAAGCTAGCTTTTTCTTTGAAAGGAATATACTAAGGAGAATTTATGGTTTAATGGTTTAAAAATAAATGTTTAATTAATTATTGATTAATGTAGATAGGAGTTATTGAAAGAAAAAAAAATTAAGATTTACAAAGACTATAATAAACCGAACATTTGCAAATTTCTTAGTAGCAAAAGACTAGAATGGGCTGGGCATGTGTGGCGTGCAGAAGGATGATAGTCTTATAACAAAAGTGCCCGATGGAAATCTGAGTGGAAAAAAAAAAGGGAGACCACTCCAAAGATGGTTCGTACGGTGAAGAGAGACTTAACACGAGTGGACCTTTACTTATAGCATCATATGGCAGTAGATAGAATGCAATGGAGAAAGGAATTGTAGAAGCAGCATTAGACCTTAATGGTCTGTTTCAAGCCTAAGAAGAAGCACATTTCAGTTAAGTCATTATTAACAGTGTAAAGTTTGGATTTAGATTTATATTTTAGATCAATTATGTATTCACAAGTACTCATTTTGATAATAAAAATAAATTTTAAAATAAAATATCCATACCGATTTCCCACTGCGGGTGCATATTCAGAATGCTTACGAAGTTTATAATTCCTCACAACTCTAACTGGTTTGCCTTTTTTCCAATCCATAGCTGTTGCTCCTTCTTTATTATTGATTTCTGCATCACAGTTGAGAGCTAAAGCCCTACAATAAATATTTAAACAAATATAACAATAATAAAGATTAATACATTTTTAATTAACCATAGTACTGTAAATTACCTGTTATAGCGTGTCAATTCTTGGTCACAACTCTGCAGAGCAGTGCGTTTATTTCCAGATAGATCTCTTCCACCTGAACCAGTATACATGAATTCATCACCATTGTCAATGTCATCTTCATAACCACCACTTAATACAATACTAAATGCTCCTTGATTATCACGGCCGTGTATTCCTCCAACTGGTGGACGGTGAATACCACTTTCAGATACCTAAAGAACAATTTAAATAAACATTTATATGCTTGAAGGAAGATTTCTCTGCTACTCTGCTTCTCACTTGAACGCGGAATAACCACGTAGTGCCAACTTCAACACCGGGAATGGGACCAAAGTGGTTTGGTGGAACAATGTTACATTTCTTTGTTCTACCAACACATGCCATTCCCTTGCCCCAATCACGTTTTGACGTTGACGCTAATGTCTTTTTTTTTGAAGCCTTTAATTTTCCACCAGCTTTAACAATTTCGTTATCATCAGTTTTGCATCTCGGGCAATACCTGAAACAAGTGTTGTACACACAAATATACATATAGTAGTACAAACAAATTTACCTTAATACAATTATTATTTATCATTATCACTAACCAATATTCAACATCTGGAACCTCTGCCAAGGGTGGTGTAAGGCAGGCCAAATGAAAACTGTCATCGCATTCATCACACAATAACTGATTATTCTCATCTTCCTTGCCACCACAAACACTACACGCGCAGTATACACATAGTTTATTAATGTTGTCTTTGCATCTAGTGCAACTTAAAGCTGTAGCTCCTTTTCACGAAAAAAAAAACATTTATTTAATATTTTCTTAACAAGTGACATAGCTGTCAATTTCTTACTTTCTGTAGAGGGCTTTGTTTGCATGATAGTATCTTCTTCTGCAGTCCTTTCTGCAACTAACTTGTATGGTTTTATTTTGAAAATATCATCAACAAACTTTAAATGACAATTGTTCAACACGGCTCTATTCGATCCAATAGTAACATTTCCTATTACTTCACGATTTCTTCTATTAACTATTATCTGTTTCACTAGTACATCATACCAATAGCCACGTTCTTTAGGAATTTCGGTGTTAAAATTCATAAGAACTTTATCATTTATTTTTAATTGATCAAATGGCAGATTATCAGTAGAATATGGTCTTATATCTTTCAATTTAGCTTTAGTGGGCGGATTAGTAGGGGATCTATATAAATATAATCAATTAGACTTACAAATATGTTTTAAATAAAAATAATATAAAACCTACCCTGCATCCTCTACAAAATAAATAAGCCCGTCATGTTCATCTTGATTATCAGAGGAAGTTGGTTCAATTTCAAAAGAATCATCTTTTTTTATTTTCACTATTTTACCCATGTACCACACGCTATATTCAAAATCTCGTATATCAACATAATCACCCAGTTTAAAATACTTGCTCTCCTCAGATATATCCTCTAAATTATCCTAGAATAAAAGAAATAATATATGACTTGTGAAGATTTTAATATGATAAAATATTTACTTCTTTTGTTGTAGAATTAGTGTCAGATGCACAACTCAGAATAGATTTATCTTTTAAATTCTCAGGAACCTTCAATGTTGATTTTTGTATTGAGTCAGTTTCAGACATGATTGTCAATTGTATAACATCATTTATATTAATGCTATAATCAAAGAGGCTATACTGGTTTTCAAGCTGAAACATACAAACAACGATCATGTAATTATTATTAAAATAAATACAAGGAGCATAATTTAATTTACATATATTATTTTAAGGGTCCTCGTGAATGAAAATGATTGATCTGTTGATATTATAGTAAATATATGGTTCTAGAAATTGTTGGTACAAACAAGTTTTTTTAAACTTTTCATCTATTATTATTTAACTCCCTAATTAGTAAAAATATTAGCTTGTCAAATAATATTGGCTTCTTACGATTCCAAATAAAATTTCACTCTACTATTTTTAATGTAAACTGCTTCAATAATCCCGTATTAATTGAAGTACCAAATCATGTTTTCATGCCATATTTTATTCACCCTTTTAATGTACTTATTGAGATAAAATTGTATCAGGAAAAGAGATTCTGGCTTCTGCTGCCACTGAAATCAAAGAAAAGTACGCGGTTCACACGAATTTGGAATGACACCAATATAGATAGCACAATAAATATTGTACATTATAACTATGGCCCGGAACTTGGCTGGTGTTTATGGAAATTTGACTTAAGTAAAATCTTTAGTCAAAATCAATAGTACAGATGTCATTATGAATTTGTCCCAGTGTTTCTTGGTCGAAAAAACATTTTCTTTTTTTTTTTTCAATTTTGGTGTATTTTATTTATTTTTCTCCTTTTTATATGGGTTGGTACTTAACGTACTAATTCATACTTAAGTATGTTCGTACTTAAGTTCATTGCTCTATTCAAAATCTAAAAGCAATTTTATTTTTGTATAGTATTAAATAGGGATTAAAATAGTCTCAGAGAATTTTAAAACCACAATGTTTTGTGAAAATAAAAAAATCTAGCCTAACCTAACCTATAATTGAAATAATTTTAAAGTTTCAAAAATCACAAATCAAAACAGACGAAAAAAAAAATTTAATTAAATCAAAACAACATGTAAGTAGTATGTATTTGTATGTTCACAGTTCGTTTTTCTACGGTAACTTTTTTTGCTCGAGGGGGAATGTCCGCCTCAGATGATTCAGAATTACCGTATCACACAATACGGTAATTTCACACTCAGTGTCCACCTATTTACCCCTCATACGAAAATATTTACCGTGTACACTAGGTTAGGTTTTAAAATTTTTTTCAACATTACTAAATTAATATTTCAATTAAAAACACAAATTATGAAATTAATTTTTTTTTTATTGTTATAAATTAAAACAAAATTATATTTACACAAGTTTTCTTACTTTTCTAGTAAAAGGTACGTATATTCTACAATACGATCATGAATTAATAAACAATAAGCAGTTACACCTGTAAAGGATTCCGAAGCTTCAATTTCTAATTGAACATCCACTGCCGAGGCTGTAGCTGAATCATTCTGTTTTGAGGTATCAATAACTATAATTGGAGAGTTCGATAGAGAAGTTGAAGGACTCAATATCGGGTTTCGTATATTTTTTTCTTAGTACGATTCTTGAAAAGATGTATACATATTACATATCATCAAATACTCTATATGACAATACGGGACAGTTAATGATAACAAACGTCGACATAGCCCCCCGAAATCGTAGTGGTTGCCTATCCGGCCCTTGTGTACATAAGTTGCCTATATGAAAACAATTTTAATTCTATTCAAATATCCCGCCTTTATTTGAAATACTGATTGGTTAAAATATTAATAAATCATTTTAATAATTAATTGAATATTTATACGACAAATCTGAGCTAAAAATAAATTAATTATGGAAGGTTTTTTTCTATTAATTATGGTGGGGAGGATGGTATTTGATTGATCTCTCCTTGTGTTTGTTTTTCTCCAAATATTTTGAATTAAGTCTTTTGTTTTTAATACCAACTATTGTAAAATGCCTTCACATAAGAGTTGTTCATTTTGGAATTGTAAGAACAATAGCAGGACAAATCCGGAATTAACATTTCATAAATTTCCCACAAATGATAAATTGTAAGTTAAATTTAAAGTTTAGTTTTAATTGCTCTCTTAA